TGTTTTCTCCTGTGTGGTTCAGCGTGGCTCTGCATGCCCTGGTATGAACTGGGCCATGGGTGACCCACTCCTACACAAGGAGTTATATTACAACAGTTGGGGACCCCCACACTAATTTGTATCTCTGTTTTGCAGAGGACTCTTGCAAGCCAAAGAATGCAGACGATAAAGTGCGTAGTGGTCGGAGACGGTGCCGTGGGGAAGACCTGCCTGCTCATCAGCTACACCACCAATGCCTTCCCCGAGGAATACATCCCCACGGTCTTCGATAACTACAGCGCTCAGATGACGGTGGACGGGAGGATGGTCAGCCTTAACCTCTGGGACACGGCCGGACAAGAGGAATACGACCGCCTGCGCACCCTCTCCTACCCGCAGACCAACGTCTTCGTGATTTGCTTCTCTATCGGCAGCCCTTCCTCTTATGCCAACGTGCGACACAAGTGGCACCCTGAGGTCTCCCACCACTGTCCCAATGTGCCAATCCTCCTGGTGGGCACCAAAAGGGACTTGCGGAGTAATGCAGAGGCCGTGAAAAAGCTGAAGGAGCAAAGCCTGGGCCCTACCACCCCACAGCAGGGCACTTCGCTAGCCAAACAAATCGGGGCCGTCAAATACTTGGAGTGTTCAGCATTGAACCAGGAAGGGGTAAGGGAAGTATTTGCAGAAGCTGTGCGCGCCGTTCTCTACCCAGTGACAAAGAAGAACTCCAAGAAGTGCCTGCTGTTGTAGTGCCGGCAAGACGAGGGCAGCGCAGACTGAAGGTGTGGGGTGTTTGCGGTCCATCTCCTTAACTAATGGCCTCTTGCACTAATGGCTTTAAAGAGGACTTCAGCAAGTCCTCCTGCAGTCCAGCTGCCACTTTGAGCCAACGGAACTGAACGTATTGGCTCTAGCCTTAAGGATCAGCCTCCGGGTGAACTCTCTGTGTGTCCCTACGTAACGCTCCACCTCTTTCGTGGAGGAAAGCTAGGGAATGCCTTCAAAGCCAAGAGGTTTCTCTGCTCAACAGGGAAGAGTCGGCTTTGCTTTCACATCAGTGTTGCTTCCTCTCCAGTCACACGTAGGGCAGGGCTGTGCCTTTCCAGTAGCAGAATCGGTCTGTCAACAGTTTTCAAAAGCACCAAACGTTTTTTTTTTTACAGTCTCTCCATGATTGCTGGCTCTGGTATCTGACATTAGTTATTTGGCTTTCAAGGTTTGCAAAGCTGAAGTATAACCAAAATCTTCACATTGCACCCTTCCCTCCATGTACACACACATATATATACACACACAGAGGCCTAGATTAACTCTGCTGGCTGACATCCGGCACTCTGATGCTTTTCCTGCACTGGCATTTTTCTTGGCTTAAATGCCACAATTACCCTTGGGCCTTGTGACTGAGTCTTGGGGTAGGAAATTACCTGCTATGCAGGTAATTGGCCATCAAACCTTTTAAAAGCTGTGCTGCTTCAAAGCAGCCCTTTTTGTGTGCCTTCTGTTCCCCTTTTCCCCTTGCAGATAAAACTCAATAACTTCTTTTTAAACATTAAGGCGTGAGTAATATTTAACTGATGCACTGATTCAGTAGAAGCTTAAATCTTTCTATGCCATTGGTCCCCATAGAGATGCATAGGAGTCTTAACATTGCCTGAAATACTAACTATGCCTTCTTCAGAATGAATTATGCAACTTTTAGAAACCCAGATTTCTATTTAGCATCATGCAATTTTGTTTCTTTTTTGCAACAGTAAGAAACTCTTGATTACGTCCATCGTTGGGCATCCTCAGCTGATTAAGGAAAGCCTGATGCTTGTCAGCATCCCTTCCAGGATAAAACGCTTTGAGCAGCAATCTCCTTAGGAGACGTAACGCTCTGCTCCCATCCCCTCTTCCAAATAATTATGTTCTGTATTCTGCCTGCGGTCCTGATCTGCGCTGGTGATCAGGAAATTTTGCCTGAATGTGGAACGGTGATACTTGGGAGCTGTCTTTGCATGGATGCTGACGTCACAGCGAGAATGGTGACTTAGCCCAGGAGCAAACCCGGTGCAGTTCTCATCCTCGGCATGCAAATCTCACTCGACTGCTGTAATGTTGGCCATGCTGCGGTCTCCTTTTCCCCTTTTCCCCATCTGAGATTCTGGGCCGGAACTTTTGCCCTACATCTGACCATCCTCAGGGTATTTAGCGATAACTGTTTCTAACCAGGTTGTGATATTAACAAGAGCTTGGTCTCCCTGGCACTGCCAAATGTCTTCTGAATGCCTTCCTGGTGTTCCAAGCTCCCCCGGCCTGAGCCTGATGATGTGCTACCGGACTCTCCCTGGGGAAAGAGGCTTCTCCAGGCGGCGCTGGGCTGGTTCGAATGACGGTTGAGGTTCAGGGAGAGGACAGCCACAGCCTGATCGTGTGGTACTTCCAACATACACTGGCAAATGATTTTATGGTTTAAAGTACATTTGTACGGCAACTAACAGTTATTTTTAAATTATGCTGAATGAAATTGTAATAAAGCAGTTTCTTGGTTCTTTTGCTGGTCTTTATTATGGGAGGAAGCGGGACAAGGAACGGGGGCTCTTTCACGCAAGCTGCCTGGGCTCTGGCTGGACCCCCAACCATGGCTCGCAGCTTCTGGGTTTTGCAGCTGTCCTGGGAGGGAGGGGAGGGGCTGGAGGGATCACCCCCCCATTGAGCCTGGTTCTGGGTGTGGCTCATATTCAAGTGGAATCCTGGTGGACGATCACTTGAATATGAACCAGCGGTGGGCTGCAGCTGTCAAAAAAGCCAGTCATAGGCTGCATTAACAGAGGGATAGAATCAACATTGTGTGAATTGTTAGTGCCACTTTATAACGTCTTGAGGTATTGTGTCCAGTTTTGGTCTCCACGATATAAAAAAGATGTTGAGACTGAAAAGAGTGCAGAGAAGAGCCACTGAGAGGATTGCGGAACTGGAGGCTAAAACATGAAGAATGATTGTGGCGATTGGATGGTGATGTTAGTTACAAAATCACGCCCAACCCATCGCAGCCTTCCTCCTGGTCTTCCTGTCCTCTACCATCCTCTGGAGTCCATTTAGGCTCACACCGACTGCTTTGTTGACTCCATCCAGCCACCTGATTCTCTGCCGTCCCCTTCCATCGTTCCCAGCATGAGGCTCTTCTCCAGGACGTCCTTCCTTCTCATTAGGTGGCCAAAGTCTTTGAGTTCCCTCTTCAGGATCTGGCCTTCTAAAGAGCAGTCAGGGTTCACCTCTAGGACTGACCAGTTAGATCGCCTTGCAGTCCAAGGGACTCGCAGGAGTCTCCTCCAGCACCAGAGTTCAAAAGGATTTGGTATGTCTAGCTCAGGGGTGTCCAAACTTGGGAACTTTTTAAGACTTGTGGACTTCAACTCCCAGAATTCTGGGAGTTGAAGTCCACAAGTCTTAAAAATTCCCAAGTTTGGACACCCCTGAGCTAGTTTAATTAAAAGGTGGAGGGTGTTTTTTTTTGCGGGGGGGGGGTGTCAACCGGTGCCGCAAAGCAGTAACGGATGGAAGCCAGTGGAAGAAAGAAGGAACCTGGACATTTCCTGACAAGGAGACCAATCCAGCAGGAGGCCGGAAGAGGAGGCAGAGGCGGCGCTTGCCTGCACGGGGCCGCTCTAGGCGCGCCCTCGCTGGCGGAGGGGGGGGGGAAGGAAGGCGGGTTCCGCTTCCGGCGGCGGGGCTGGCAGGACACCCGTGGCAGCGATGTCGGACTCGGAGAGCGAGGAGGAGGCGGGGGGCGGCGGCGGCGGGGGGCGGCGGGCGGCCCCCTTCTCGCTGGCCGGCTTCCTCTTCGGGAACATCAACGAGCAGGGCCAGCTGGAGGGCGAGGGGCTGCTGGACCAGGTGGGCGCCGGGCGGGGAAGGCGCGTCCCCCGGCTGGGCTGCGGGCGGGCACGGAGCGCAGCCCAACCGGCCTCTCTAACCCGCCTTCCCGTAGGAGTCCAAGAACCACCTGGCCGGGCTCGGGGCGCTGGGACTGGGCAGCCTCATCACGGAGATCACCGCCAGCGAAGACGACGCCCCCGAGGCCGACGGAGCGCAGCTGGACGAGGAGGGTGAGGCTGCGCCCCGCCGGGGGGCTTCGTGGGACCCCCTCCCTCCCCCTCCTGCCTGCATACTCCGGGGCCCACCGGCGCGCCCACCTCTGGGGAGGGGCACCCTCAGCCTTCGCCCCCTGCCCCGTGCCCTTCTGGGGTTGGTTTTGGCTCTGGGGAGATCGGCTGTCCCATCCCCCGGTACTGCCTGGAGACAGGCAATAGCAATAGCAATAGCAATAGCAA